TAACTCTACCCTAGCAAAACCAGGACACAACCTCACTCCTTCCTCTTGAAGTCATGTCAGGTTGAGTATTAAAATCCGGAGAGACTCGGTGTCACTAGTGTCATTTTTAACAGGATCGGCAAACCTCCGCTCCTGGTTTGGAAGCCCCTTGCCAGTGTGTGTAAGTAAGTAAGACATGCCAACAGTTTGCCACGTAGCTGTGGAATTTGTCTTCCCAGCCCAGAGGCTGGCTCTGAGCCCCACTTCACCACCTGGTACCAAACAGACTCAGCTCAGAAACGGGGTCCTGGAACAGAAATAAATGTTCCTGTTTGTGTCTGACTACTCGCCCTTCATGAGCCAATTCTCGCATTCCTTTCAACAGGTAGATAGCAAATATTAGTTTAATCTTCAATAAGGATTACTTCTAAGGCAGGAATCACACGTGAATTTGGGAGATCTTTCACATGTGTGCAGCCTTCATGTTTATTTAGGAGAAGGTCACATCAAAGATGAGCACATTACGTTTGAACTGGAAGGTGGGGAGAATTATCTGGCCCAAGTGATTCCAGTGTCTGATTACTTTCATATTTTTAATACAAATATATCCTGAGGCAGGGAAATACCATTATTCCCATTTTCAGTGAAAGAAGAGCGGAGTTAAGTGACTTGCCTAAAATGATACAGGGAAAGTGTGGCAGAAAGAGGTACTGAATCCTTGGCCAACACCAAGCTGTCTTTCTGAGCTTTTAGAGACAACAGCTATTTCCAGCCCCCTTTATTTATTTCTCTAGAAGCCATCATGCCAAAACCTCTGCTAAATTAGAGAGTGAGACTAAAGGAAAGCTTTCAGTGGATTGCTTTTTTCCATAAATGGAAATATCACAAATCATTCTGGGAAAACAGGTCTTTCTGTTCTCATTCCTCTTTGTCTGCTTCTCTCCTTTTGGATGTCTTTTCCTCTGCCTCTGGGTCCCAGTTTTCAGATGTACAGTCCTGGCCATTTAAAAGTGTTCCTACCCTGCAGGAAGGGAGTAGCTTTTCATTCTTTGGAACTTACTATTTTGTGATGGATTGCACTCTGCAGGCAAGCAGGACTTCTGAAAGAGACAAGCTGCACAAAGCGACACAAAAATAAACCGTATCACCAACAATACTGAGCCAGGTTCTCATCGGGGGTAACTCGGTCTGACTCTCGCTGCAGTAGAGCTGATGGCTGCCAGCTGTCCTGGATAGACAGCATGTACCCAAATCATGACCTGGCTGCTTTGGAGGAGGTGTCTCTGAGGGATAAACATGCAGCTAACGTTGATTTTCATGCATCTTAGACATTCAGTCCCACTTGGCAGTACAGCAGGTTGCCTCTGCTCTTAATGCCATGGCTGGGCTACTTCTGTCCCAGTCCAGGCACTTGGAGATGAGGTGCCTGTTGCACCAGTCCTAGCTCCTCTAAACTGCATTTTCCAAAGCTTGTGCAGGTGATAAGGAAATGGTGAGGATCTCATCTGACTCCCAGTAATATGCAGGGGACCTGGGGGCTGATCTGTCATCCCCAGACTTTCTGTCCTGAGGTAAGTCAGAGCTCCTCCCTGCCTCCTTTGCAGCCTGTACATCCCAAAGCAGGCTGCTCAGAGGATGCCCACACCGAGAGACTGAGAAATGGGAGGAAGATCTAGTGGGTGAGCATGAGAAAGATTATGAGGGGAGAGGTTGAACTGCACTGGGAGAGCTGCAGGGAGGAGGTGGAAATGCATGGCTTAAGTTTCTCAGAGGTGTGCAGGAAAAGCCAGAGCATTCTACACCTGCCTGTTTCAGGGTTTGCAGCATGAGATTGCTCAAGTCAGGAAGAATGAGAAGGGCAAAGGGAGACAAGTGCAGAGGAGATATTGCTCTTACTCCCTTGAGGGGGTCTCAGAGCCCTACACACCCTCCCAAATAATGATTTGCTTTTGCTCAGGCATTCAGGAGTATTAACTATAGGGTGGCACATGGCTCTTCCCTCCCTGGCTCTGCAAACTGCACTTGTGGTACAGAAGAAGGCTGTTGTGTCAGACCTCGGCAGCACTGCTGAGAGGCTCCATCCCCCTACCCACACATGGCCACAGAGCTTTCACCAGCACAGGTTCCAGGGAGGCTACTGCACCATCTCAGCAGGCCACATCTCACAGGTCCATCAGAGAATTGCTGAGTGACCTTGGCATAAGAAGTGACATCGAGGCCTTTCCTCCACCGGGATGGCTTCTGAACCATCGCCATCCGTCGCTCACCTACTCCGTGCACTTGCACAGCCGTTTGCACCAGCGCACCCACACCATGCCCTCTTTAACACGTCCCCGTATGGCACGAGGCAGAGGAGGGCTGTCACCCCCATTTTACAAGGTAGGACTCTAAGGCAGAGAGAAGAAATGGTTTTAACAGCATGCCTGTGGCACAGCAAAAACTGAATCTTGTTCTCTTATATTCCCAGTTACCGCATTAATGACCTAAATTCTGCATCCTTTCCCCATCCATTGCCCAGAGGAAATAGGAGGCATGAGGAGAGGGTGTGGTAGCACAGGAAAATAGTCAGTATCCAGAGCCATGGTACTTTGTGCTGAGCATAGACAAAGCAGGGGCTAAAGTAGGACCAACGCTGCCCACCCTGCCCTCACAAACCCCGAGGGGGTTGAGCCGGGGAGGGGGATCAGCCTGGCACAGTGTATCAACCTGCAGTGAAGGGCAGCTCCTCAATGGCACAGCATTTTAAGCAAGGCTGGACACCCCAATGGCCAAGTACCCTGCTGAGCCACATCAGCAAGACCTTTTGGACACTCAGCTCCGGGAGCAGATTTTCAAAGAGCCTGCACTTCCCCCCACAGTGCCTAAGTGCTGAACCTCTAACCCACACGAGTCCATATAAAAGACACCCTGCTCAAGATGCAGCCTCTTTCCCAAGCAGCTTGATTCTTCACATAGGAATTGAACAGGCACAAATACAGCAAGAAATGGAGAAGGGGAGAGGGAGAAGAGAGGAGGCAGAGAAAGGATGGGACAGAGTGAGGTGGTTTCCAGATGCAATGCCTCTTCCCTCCCTGGCTGATTCCAACTGGGGGCTCTGGCTGTGTGCCAGGAGCCTCATCTGGAAGGTACATGCAGGCTTTGCCTGCTCCCCCAGTGTGTACAGGCAGGAGGCACTCAATATTCACGATCTGCTGGGCAAGGAGCTGAAATCTGAGGCTGGAGACTTCCTCAGTGCCTCAGAGAGCAGCAATGTTCATGTGCACTGTACAGCAGTGACTGCAGCCAAAGGAACAGGGTGATGAGCTGCTCATCTGTCACAGGCAGATGGCCCCAGGCAGTCAGGGACAAGCAAGGGAAAAGACCCCCTTCCTGCTGTATCTGCTTTCCTCACAGGTATTTAAGTGGACAAGTAGCAGGGTGTGAGTATGGCAAGGGAATTTGCCTAGCTATGAAGTTTTCCTTCCAGAAGAGCCATGGCTGAGCAGCAAACACTTCTTGAATGAGGTAATTGGATTGGGGATGGGTGATTAATAACCTCCTTTCATAACCTGTGGTTGCAATGCAGGAATAACAATTCAGAGGTACCTGGAGACGCTTTGTTCCTACTTTATTACTTACCTCTTATATGCACAAACACTCCTCTCTACTGTCCCTAGCTTCTCCATGGAAGCTCTTTGAACTAGTAGTTAAAGGTGATAGGTATCTCAGAAGCATCAGATGCAAGCCGACTGGATGCAGAAGAAGCCAAGCTTGGGGACTGACCTAGAGGAACCCACCTACCTGCCTTTTTCAGCTATTTGCTCAGCACTGCCTCCCAAAGCATCCCAAACTTTGGTGCAGGAAGACTTGACTTCAAGAGGAAACTCAGAGGGACTCCTTTGAGCTTGGTTCTTCTTCCAGCTATTCCCAAATACCTGAAGGATCGTTGAAATTCATCTGGAATAAACCTTCCAAAACACAACTCTGGGACCTGACATGGTCCCTGCAGATCTCAGACTTGGTAGGGTTGGCCTAGAGGAGCTCTAGGTTCCTCACAAGCAACTCTTCCTAGAGGCAACAACCACAAGCATGGTGGCTTCACTGTCTCCTGACCCTGACACCCAGCTGGTCCAGCGGCTGGGCTCAGGGCCAGGGTGGTAGGTGGCTTTCCCAGGTTGCCATAGCATTTGTCACTCTCCAGACTCAGGCTCCAAACTCTTCTGAGGAAGGATCGGAAAACCTGAGCCACTTTGGTGATTGACCTCTGGTGAGGGGGCCATGAGATCACCATGCCTATCCATGCACCTCATGCATACACTGCGTCCCTCCTTTCTGGACAGATTATGTCCATCAGTTCTGTGTTAATGGCCGGCCAGTGCAAGAGTCCAGAAGGAAATGTGAGGGAAGGCAGGAGAAAAAGTTGGGGGGAACCCCAGGACATATAATGAAGTTGGTTTCCACATGGTTACCACTGTACGAGCATGAACTTTGAGATACTAGTCAACCAGTGGTCATGATGATGACATGGCTTGAGGATGACCTCTCTGGAGTGGTATTCCCGAGTTCAAGAGGAGAGAGACGTGAATAATGAAATTAAGAGCCTGGTAGACATCCTAGATGACAAAAGACTGGGAAGATGTCGCTGGCTTCCTGTTGGGATGGCTTTGCTGATCATGGAGTGTGTGAAAAAGGATGCCCCATGACTAAAGCTAGAAGAAGGCCCTGTGCATAAACTAGCCTGATGAAACTGAGGGGGACCAGCCCAGCTTCCCTCATTCATGGCAGAAGACGTTGCTCCCTCAGTGCAAAGTATGTTTCATTGCTGAGCTGCATACACACACTTGCATCAAGCTTCTTGTAGCCTCAGTCTTTGAGAGAACACAAGAGGAGGCCCAATAAAGGTTTGCAGAAACAAGCAGTCATATGGAGAAGTAGATTAAGATCTTTTGTTCTTCTCGTACCACACCAGAACAAGAGCATGTATCCTGCCTGTGAAATTAATAGGCAGCAAATTCACAGCTGAGAGAAACGAACGCTTTTCCACCCAAACCTGATCACCCTGCCATACACAGCACTGCTGGGATCCACCCAGGTCATGCCAAGTGAAACACAAACCCCCACGGTTCCGCCAGTGGATGCTGAGGGAAGGGACTCCAACCCTGTGCTTTGCAGCGTGACCCAGCCTCTGGCTCCTCTCCCCATCCCTCCTCCTTCAGAGGCAGGCAGTAGCACCTGTCATACCTGCTGGCCAAAGCCACTGGTGCTCTCCACTGTTGAGCGAGGAGCACTGGGACAGGTGGGCATCAGGCTGGATCCAGATGGCAAATCTCATGTTCCTGTGCAAATAAGAGGGAGATATGTGTGCGAGTGTGCAAGGAGAGTACCTGGGCTTTTAATGAGTATTAATTATACACGAGTGTGCGTGCTGCCTGGGAGGAAGGCAGGGCGGGCACAAAGGGCAATGCAGAGGGCAGCTGTTCCTGCGAGGCAGGTTTTGGTGTTCTCATTTGTTCTTTTTTTCTCTTGTTCCCTAGGGAATTTTAAAGGTCTGTGTAAGCAAATCGATCACTTCCCTGAGGATGCAGATTATGAAGCCGATACAGCAGAATATTTCCTCCGTAAGTCCGCAGGCTCTTCTCCTTGCAATGGCTCGTAGGTGCAAGCGTCGGGTGCCTTTTGTTTTCTGAAAGTAGGGTGGTGGAGATGCTGGGACCTGTGAGGCTCAGTGGGCCAGAGAAGGTGACCCCAGAGCCATGCCACCCGCAGAAAAGATTTCCACTCCCACCTGCCTGTGACTCTGCCCATTAGACAGTGCAAGTTTTGAACTCTTATAGTAACAACCGGTGGTATTTTTTATTAAAGGTAATCAATACAATATAAATCCAGAGTCTTAATTCAAATCAATGGGAGAGCTGCAGAGCGGGCAGAAGGTCAGGAATGGGCTAACTGGGGCAGTGTGAGAGTGTGCAAGTGTGTGTGTGTCCTCCTAAAGCAGAGGAAGTTTGCATTTCCTTACCTGATACTCCAGTTGCATCAAATCTAAGAAATTAGCCAGATGGTGTCCAAGGAGCACCTACCTCTGTCTTCACTTTTCCCCAAACACCACTTAACATACAGAAGCTGCAGATCTAATCTTTGCTGGTTTTAGTGATTTTAGTGCTGGGAATGGGAATACGGACAGTCAGAACCCTTTGAAGAAAAGACCTTCTGCTCACCCAGAACCCCTGGGAGACATGCTATACCCCAGGCACGTGACGTCTCCGAAAGGAAACCTAACCTGAGCTTTGAGTCCAGCCTGGGACATGCGAGTGAGGCTCATGCTGCTTTGCACATGGTGACAGGGAAGTCAGCCTGGCCAGCAGAGCAGATCTGCATCATGTATTGCCTTCCCTGATCACAAGTCAGCCCCAGAAGCAGGAGCTTGCTCTTCCTTTAGCACAGCTGAACAGGAATCACTCCTCCTCTTAGGTCCCCACCTTGCTATCCTGCCCTCTCTCCACAAACCCAACACCTTTTGACATCACATGAAGAGATCTCCCTTCAGAAATCCGAGATAAGAACTTTTGACCTCCCAAGGTTAAGCAGCAGAAGTCTCCAAAGGCCAGGAGTCTTTCAGAATAGCTCCTTGTCATCCAGGCATGCTCCAAGCCAGCTGTGGAGACCCAGCCCTGCGGCAGGGATGAGAGAGATAATTTAGGCTCTGTGAGGCTCATTTGTATGTGAAAAGAGGCAGATCTTATGCTGCTTCCTCTTGGTTTCTCAAACAGTTCTTCATCCACTATAAATTGTAAATAACCCAGGGAGATTGCTTCTTTTAGCCGTCTTTCTGCAGCATCAATCTATTAATTGCTGCATGGGCCCTGAACAGCAGAGCTGAAGACTGGGGTTGATCTGGTTTGGCACAGCGACTGCGCAGGCCGCCTCTGAGGGCAAACCAGCTCTTGCAGAGTTGTTTGGGAGTGAGGAAGCTGCCTGCAGCATCAGCTGCACTTCAGAAAGAAGAGCTGGGGGAAGGGGGCAAACATCTCAAGAAGGATGGGTCTGTTGCCTTAGAGGGAACAAGATCTGAAGACAAAAATTGGCCCAACCTCAGGACCTGATGGTGTCCCCAGGGTGGAGCCCCTTTTAAAAAAGAACCGGGTTCAAAGAGGGATTTGGCAAGTCAATAAAGGACTACTTGAGTCACTCCTGAGGGAAGTGGGATTTCTGCTGGCTTAGACCTGACTGGAGAGGGACCTCACTGAACAGCTTCTTCCCAGGACTTCTGCCAAACCAGAGTCCTTGGGCGCTCTGCATGGGCGATGCCGGCGGTACTGGCAAGAACAGCAGGGAGGTTGTTTATTAGTATCAGACTAGGTGATTCCCTCATTCAGGGGACCAGGACGATTGTGGGGCAGTGTCCATGGCCTGGCTAGGACTTAGACCTTATTTCTGCCAGCCTTCCACATAAGGTGTCTTAGGCTTTTTGAAATCAAATGCCTGTTAGAGAGGAAGCAGAAGCTTTGCTGCATTTCTTTGCTAGAAGAGACTGGAGCTGAGAGCAGATGATACGAGGGAACACCTGAACACCATCAAGAGTCCCCTTCTTTTCACACCAAAGGCTCTGGACCCAGGAAGACTGGCTGAGATTCTGCCCCTCTTTTGCTGGTATGGTCCTCCTGAGGGGCACAAAGCAGGGCTGAGTGAGGCTGCTGTCCTCTCCCATCACATAACACCTGCAGCTCCCCATTTCAGCTGGCAACTTTGTGTTCACCCAACAGACATGAATTTCAGAATTAAGACCCAGATAAAACTGATGTGGTCAGGGCCAGGCTGCAGGACTGACCAAGCATCACTCTAGAAACCCTCTGAACAGTGGATATCTGTTTGATGTTTGCTTACTGCCATTTAAGCTTCACATTGTCAAATTCTGCCTTGCTTTCCAGAAGCTATTAAGATGGTTATTATCACTGTCCTGTTCCCTGAAACACAGCCAGGCAGAACTGGAAAGCAAGCAAGAGAGGTTTTTCCCTGCCTTTTGCATTCCTCATGCCCAGGCAGTGGGCTAGGGCCCCTCTCAAAGAGCCAGTTGCTTCTGCTCTGGTAGGAGCCTGATGCCAACAGGGTCTTTGAAGCATGGTCTCTGCCTGCTTAGGAAAAGTCCTACGCTTGCTTCAGTAGGGTTCATTCTTGCAGGCAAGGAAGGATTAGCTTTCATCCTCCCTTCCAGATCTTTGCTCCACAAACAGAACTGCACCAGCCCGTCTGATATCTTTCATTATCAAGCAAGGCTTCATTTCACACTTTAACAGCTTATTTTCTCTTGGGAAGGGAGGAGGGAAGGCCTTCCTAGTTAAAAAATATGAACATGGGCAACATGAAGTCAGGCAGACTGTTGGTACCCACTGAAGAGCTCAGTGTGTCCACGCCTGCATGTGTGCGTGGCAAAAGTATTCATGCAGCGAAAGTCCCAGCTTTTGCTGCATGAATACTGGAGAGTTCCCCCCAGCAGCCCTGGGGTATGTTCTGCATGCGTGTATGAGCATATACGTGCATCTATGCCATTGCCCTCTGCTGGCTGAGCTCTTCCCGTATCGACCGATGGAGAACGTGCGTGTGTGGGAGCTGGCACATCCAAACCCGTCACTGCCCTCTGGAAGGAGACCAGTCATTTAATCACCAGTTTCAGCCCCGTGTTTCAGCACACAGGGCTTGGACTTTTGCTTCTCAGTCCTCACTGCAGCCACAGAGCAGTGCAGGGCACCAGGAGCCCCTTCCCAGCTCTAAAAAAAAACCTCTCCTTGAGATGCTCGTGCCCTTTTGGGAGGATTTGAGATTGAGCAGCTCTGCAGGAAGCTTTTGCTCTTCTTTGAAGAGCGGGCTCAAGCGGCAGTGCCCCACAGGAGGAGAAGCTGGATGGTGCTGGGGCTCCCTCTCCAGCCCATATTCCCCCAGAAAGGGGAGGAAAAGACAGCATGAGGGGGCACAGGCAGCACGGCCAGGCTCACAGCTCAGCCACCAGCTCTGCAGCCCCCTCCTCCTCCCCGTGCCGGGC